ACACAAACGTTAGAAACGACTTCAACGCTCCCTCTCGTCTCCTTCAGTCGCACGCAAAGACCCACATCCTGTCAGCTCCTGCCTCCGACCCCGCTCTTGCTCGTGAGCTTAGACCTGAGCATGCACGTCTGCTTCTACCTCAATCCCGAGACCCGCACTCCAGCTCGCTCCAACTGACCTTGTTGTCCCTTCTACCCACCCGCATGCGTGATTTCGCGCTCCAGCATCACGCACGCCCATGTGTGAGCCCACTCTCGTGCAATCGCTACCACAAGGCTCACCTAGCGTTCGATTCTGTCCCTCCTAGTGTCCAATTACGTCTTGTTTGCCTTAGCCGCTCGATCTGACCTACATTGGTCTGTCCAATGACCCAATCCGCTCTCTGCTATCGCAACAGCCTGATTCAATCATTCCTGCCTCTTTTCCCTTCCCTTCTATTTGTTCCGCCCTCCACCCATACGAACCAAAAGCCTCCAATCTCAACCCGTTCTGATTCGATCGATCCTTCACCATCAGCAACATTAAAATATAATTTATATATTTCTTTCTTGCTTGCTCAAATAACAGGTGTAGAAGGCCTACGCCATTGTATCTTTGATCCGGGCAGAAGAAATGAATATAAAGAAGACATGCGTCGTTGTATCTTTGATTCAGGCGGAATAAATGAATATACGAAGACCTCATGCCATTGTATATTTGGTCCGAGCGGGAGGAATATAGACAAGTGCCTTCCAACCTCCTTTCACGAGGAGGGGATGCCGGGAGGTTGGCGAAATTTCAAATGATAAAAGACCTTTACATGATTAAATGATTCAATCAAAATTGGTTATTGTAAATGATTTAAAATCTGAATAATTAAAATTAATTATGTCATTTCAATAAAAAAGGAGGGAAGAATAAAAACATTTAATTGGGGCAAAGAGAGAAAAAAATTAGAAATGATCTTTCTCTATTAGATTTAAATGAGAATTTGACTTTTAACTTGATACAATGGAGAAAAAAATATTTATATAATCGACCCAACATAGTGGGATAAATGCTTGATGTTGTTGTTGTAGGGGAAAAGAGGAAGATGTGTGGTGATTTTCATTATGTATTTAAGAAGTCAAAATTTATGGAAAAGGGAGAAGTAGACGATCATGCATGAAAAATGAGGGAAATACATAGAATTGAATGACATAACCTAAAAATCCCTTAAGACATCAAGATCTAACATGATTCGAACCCGGAGTGACTCAAAGGGTTTATTTTAGAGAGGAGCACATTAATCGTCAAAATTAGTTAAAAGGAACATGTTTATTAAAAAAATTAAAAATGAGCAAATACGTCAAACAAAATAGCGCATTTAGAATACGCAAAAAAGGAGATTCTAAATATGCCACTTGAATTGGTGCATTCAATTCAAGTTAGAGAGAGAAAGCGGCTGCAGAGAGAGAGGCGGGGAGAGAAAAAAAAGGTGGAATAAGGGGGACAGAGCATTTGGATGGGGGAGAGAGAAAAGGCTGGATGGGGGTGGGAGACAGAAACGACATGAGAGAGAGGGGGAGCATTAGTAATTTTTTACTAAATAATGATTGAATTTTTTTTGCAAAAAATCTAATTATTAGATAAAAAAATTATCTATTTTATTAAATCAAAATAGATAAATAATAATTTAAAATAAATAAATATTAATTAAATTAAAATAATTATCAAATTTTTATTAAGATAGGTTTTAAAATTATTAATTTTTAAAGATAAATATGAGACATTTTTTTATTAATTTATCATATATTATATTTATCTTAGAATAAATTTAATAACTATAAAATGTATCTTAATTAAATCTAATGAAAATATCCTTACTCAAATTTCTTTTTATTAATTAGCTATGCTTGTTATAAATTAAGATGAGTGTGTAACTAAATTAAAATAATTAATTACAAAAAATTTATAAAAAAATAATGAATTAATTACAAAATTTTAAATATTAATTACAAAAAAAAAATAGCAAATTTTATTAAATTATAATAGATACAATATTTAATATTAGATGATTATTAATATTATCTAATTTAATTTAAAATTATGCATTTTATTATGTTAAATTGCAAAAAATTTAAATATTAAATTTAAGTAGTAATTTTTTGCAAAATTTTAATTTTTAGACAAAATTATCTGTTTCATTAAATCAAAATAGATATAACTTAGATAATTTTGTATCTACTAATTAGATTTTTTTTTTTTGTAAAAAGAATCCCATCATTATTTAATAAAAAACTAATAATATTCCCCTTTCTCTCACGGAGCTTCTCTCTCCCCCATCCAGCTTTTTCTCTCTCCCCCCATTCTGCCTTTTTTTTTTCTCTCTCGCCGTCTCTCTCTCTCTCCAGACGCTTTCTCTCTTTCCCTTGAGTTGAATGCGCCAATTCAAATGGCGCATTCATAATATATTTTTTTGACGTATTCTAAATGCGCCATTTTATTTGATGTATTTGCTGATTTCTAATTTTTTTTGTAAACATGCTCCTCTAACTAATTTTGATTATTAATGTGCTCCTCTAAAATAAACCCTGACTCAAATGCATAAAGAAGGCTCAAAAAGCATGAAAATAATTCAATGACACCTCACAGTACATGACATCGATCACTCAATTTATATAAATCTCACAAGTAAAATATAGTGCGGCCAAGTTACATAAAATCTAGAGTCTAGTATGATGATATGATTATTATGAACATGATGCTCCATATTAACACTCTCTTGCTTTAAACAATCGCTGTGACATATGAGTATCTTGGTTCTCACGAAGCATCTCAGGATATAGTTGTGATAGCTCCTCCAAAGTTATTTATGAATCCTTGAGAGACACATGAGATCTAATGGTGTTGGCGTGAAAATAATGTCCTTTGTGCCAATCAATATATCTTAGGATATGAGTGGGGTAGAGATGCATCAAGAGGAGGGTAGAGAAGCAAAATATCAAGGATTAATTAATCATTGGTAGAGTAATAAGTCAACTACATTGAATACTGTTGAAATTCGATCTCTAATGGGAGATGCTTCAAAAGATTTCATTGTGTTTCATAGAATCCAACAGAAACTATAGTCAATAATGTGAAGGGATACATGGAGAAGAGGGGGGATTATCAAAAGGCCTAGTTATTGGAAGTTGTAGTAATCACAAATAAAAATTTGGAGTAAGCTATATCTAGCCATGATAGTTCTCTAGTGTTGATCGTGTGATTTGGCTTCCATTTGAATGAAGCTACTTTTCAATGTCCTGATGAGCTAGGATGGAAACCTCAGTGAGTACCCATCATTTTGTCAGATAGATGGATATTACAAATACGTGAGGTGCATGGATCTTGTTGATCTAGAAAGCTAAAAGCTAATTCATGATGTCAAGGAGTTTGATGATCACTGGTTGATTTAGGATATTTGTAAATATAATGAGGCTGTGATCCATTTGATTGTGCGCAAGTGTGCTAAAGTCAAGACTCAACTATGATTCGCTAAAATATTTCACTCCAAGAAATATCGCGGATTAGCTAAAAGTGTTATAGCACCCATACAATAACTCCGATCTATATGCTAAAGTCTTTTTTCATGTGCTCTAATCATTACATCAAGTTTCTAAATGCAATATTTGATAATGCCTTGTGGATTTGCTGAAAGTGCTCAAATACTCTTGACGACAGTCATATCGGCAGGAAATCTTAATTGGAGATGGCTATATAATATTCAGAATATCCTCGAAGTCTAAAATCATTCATTCAGAACCTAAATTCAAATCCTTGGCTGAAAATGTGGAAATTTTGGATGGTTTGCACACTAGCAAGGCTCCAATTAACAAGCCGGAGATGGATTGCGAACTGGCTGAACACTTCGTGCAAACTCCCAGGATTCCGAGTCGTGCGATCATGAATTCCTCGTATAGGATCGGACGGATGTTTGCGTGCAACCTTCCCATTCCGAGCAAATTAGTTCAGCTATGTGGAATGTATTGAGTGTCTACACTTAATTCAGTTTTCAATTCCATTCTTAATTCGGAACTAGATGCGAGTATGGAAGACAATGATTCAAAGCAGGTTTGGACCAGCTACAACCATCTATGGCGCCTCTCAAGCAGCCAAATGCTCTTCAGATATTTGTCAAAATACCTCAAAGGCTTCAGGTGCAGAATTTCAGCAAGCTTTTGAGCAAACCACATCCCAATTTCCTCTATCATCATATAAAAATTACTTTTATATCATATTAGAGGTTGCAAAATGCTAATATTAATTTTTAATAATATTATTATTTATTACCTCATTCTATTCTACCTCGGTACGACCAGTCAAATCGTGAATCTCTCATTCTTTCAGTCATTGTCCGGTCCAGTTCAACATTTCTTCTTAGATGGAAGAAATTAAGATGTCACAAAATTTGATAAAAAAATAAACATACTTGTGCTGAGATTGAATAAAACATATATAAATTAAAATTGACTGCGTACATGTAGAATAAGAATGATTTGGCCATATAACATTATCTTTGGACATAACTTAATTTTTAGAGGAATTGGTAGATTGTGGTCATGCTGTTATGTGTGGAGTTGTGATTCTAAATCCACATAAATTTGGATTGAATCATAGTTTTTTACTATATAAACGTCTTAGATCATGCACATAAAAAATCATGAATTCGTGGCTCATAAATTTGAAGCAACAATAATTAATAATCTTCATTTTACTAGATAAATGTCTTAGATCCTGTTTGCATCATGAGCTATCAAAATGAGGATTAATTATTCTGTGCGGACGTCGAATACTGTCCAGAGATCAACCAGAATGCGTCATGTCACCCATGTGCTCGGTACCGTGGTTGTGTACTGCTAGTACTACGGCTCGGTATTGCTGACATGGTGCATTCTGATTGGTCTCTGGATGACATTCTGCATCCGGTCTCGACTAGGCTAAACTCTGATTCCTTTCTCCGCTAATGCTGATCTGTTTCTTTATCAATTGATATCACCCAGGTTCTCATCCGCACATGCAAAGTGGGAAACACGTGGAGGTGAATCAGTTCAAGCAGCAAATAAGATAGCCTAATCATGAAGTTTTGGAAGTTGAGGTTAGTAAGTTATACAATCTTAGTACTCTGACCTAAAACAAAATTAATATGATAATGCATCTATAAGATAAGGTTTATGTCACCTGCATAATGGTGATTAATATTTTACAAAGAAGAGGCCCTTTCTGTCTCTGCACCTCTGAATGTTATCATTCTTCTCTCTCTGTTTACAAAAGTATCACGGAAATCTTGAAATTTACAACATAATTATAAACTTTCATCGCTGAATGTTTTATTAAATTCTTAATGATTTCAAAGATTTGTTCCATCAAGGCTGCGATGCTAAGAATTTGAATGAAAGGAATTGATAAAATCAAAGTTAATGGATTCAACTTGATACTGTTCTCATAAGAAAATAGAAAAGATTTATAATTTTATAAAATTTATTGATTAAATATATTTTAGTGTGCCTTTGAATTTTTAACATACGTGTCAGAACTTTTTAATATTTCTGCTACTATGTGTAGAATTTGTTTTAAAAGTTTGGTATCATTATTAAAATTTGTTATAAAATTCAATCATATAAATCATATGTTGCTCTAGTAATAAAAATCATAAATTTATAACAGATTTAAGTGATAATATGTGGATTAAAATATATTAAGATTTGTATAATTTTATTGCTAATTTTGTTACAGGCTTTTCCAGTAAGAACAGAATTTCGGTTTAAAAGAGTTTGCTTTTTCTTGATAAGTTGTTTCTCTATGATGTTATTCCGTTCGAAGTTTAGCAATCTAGTTCCTCGTGGTTACAAGATTACAATCTCATATATGGCCTATTTGATTTGAAGTAAAGTATTTCAAATATAATGGCTTGGAAAACATAGGTATTTGATTAGAAGTAAAAGACATGCAAAGTAAAATTTTGTTGTATTAGGAATGCATTATCTAGTTTGGTGTATTTAAAATGCGTTAGATTTGAGAGAATTTAAAATACATTGTAAATTCTTTTGTTAATACATTGTAAATGCCTTTTTTTTTTAGAAAAGATCTTATAAGAATGATATCTTTTTATTACTAATTTGCCATTAAACAATGAAAAAAATAATAAAACACATCAATAATCAGTAATAAAATCAAATTTTAAAATCCCAAATTTTTGTTTGAATCTATAGAAAAAAGTTTTCAATTTGATGATTTTATTGATTTCATAATCCAATTTTGATATTGATTTTGAATATTTTAAATGATGTTGTATGCGGAGTAAGGATCATTCTCAACCATCTATTTGCTACATTATACGCAAAACAATCCAATAGCAAAGAGAAGTAGAAAAGATTTTTTTACATATAAAATATTTGAAAGACCAAAAAGAAAAGAAAAAAATCATAAGGCCTGATCATTGAATGACATCTACTATTTCTAGATTATTGATACAATAATGATCCACTTGTAAGACATTATAGCTGGGATTTTAATATAAGATGCCCATAACACAAATATCATCGAATCATTATGATGAATGTTAAGGAGTTGAGAATAATACTTGGGAGGTTATAACACATAAGGTTTTGTTTGAGATCATTTTCTTCTTGCTTTTTAAAATAATTTTCTAGTACAAATATTTCTTGAATTTGAAAATTTTGTACTAAATACCTGTTACAAAAGCCAGTTTCAAACTAAGGCTTCATTTGGGATGGCTCTCTTACTGCTTCTTAAAGCAGTTTTGTAGTACAAAAATTTTAATTTTGTATTAAAAAGCTTCTTTAAGAAGCATTAAAAAAGTCGTCCCAAACGAAACCTAAATCTTAGGTTTATTTGTGATAGTTTATTATTATTATTTTTTTATGCTTTCAAAATAAAAATTGTATTAAAGAGTTGTTATAGAAAGCAGTAAAATTATTCCAAATGAAGTCTTAGCATATGTGCAGATGGATGTGACATAAGAGAATTTTAGGAAGTTAAAATTCTGAACTCATGGATGCATAAACTGTTTTAAAATTTTCATGCCTAATGTCAATATTTGGCATCGGATGCTTCTGCAACTCATACAAATAGAGCCAAAAAAAATAAAAAATTCTGCGATAAGCCATTGGCGTAGCATCATCGATGCAATAATACTGTTAGGTAGAACTTCGTTTCGTGGAGAATGCGACATTCCAAGTTGTGACGCTATCCTGATGAATAAATATAGTGCTTAGCGATGTGTTGATCTCAATTGTTTGAAGCCTGATGTAGTTTCATTGTTTTCATTATTACTATTATTAATTAACATATCTTTATTATTTTCTATCAGGTTGATAAACTTAGGCTTTGTTCGGAATAGCTTTCTTATTATTTTTTAAAGTAACTTTTAAGTACAAAAATTTCTTAAATTAATTTTTTTTTGTAAAAGAAAGTTATTTCAGAAGGCATTAAAAAAATTATTCTAAATGAAACCTTAATTTTCATTCACTGACGTTATTTTTATGCAAGAGATATTAAATCTATTATACATTAATTGTTGATGTATATATATTTTCTCATGTTGCATTCAATCTTCTTATTTTTTTATGGTAATCTTATGCGTATATACGTGTCATGGTTATTCAATAGGATACGAAATGAGCATATACCCCGGTGTATGCCTTTTGTTGATGATATTCTTCTTGTTGATAAGACTAGAGATGGATTTGAAGCTAAACTTGAATTATGATGGTAAACCTTAGAGTCTAAAGGTTTTCGTTTGAATAGATTTAAAATTGAATATATGGAGGGTAATTTAGTAAAAATAGATCTAGTGGGGGGGTTGTGACTTTGGACGATCAAGTCATTAATAAGAACGCACGTTTTAGATATCTTGGGTCTATTTTTTGGAGTGATGGTGAAATAGATGGGGATATTATTAGTAGAATTCAAGTGGGATGGTAGAAGTGGAGGAATGCATTGGGCTTGTTATGTGATAGAAAAGCCACTCTAAAACTTAAGGGAAAATTCTATAAGATGGTAGTGAGACATGCAATGCTTTATGGTGTATAATGTTGGTCATTAAAAGAGAAGCATAATATTAAGTTAAGTGTTGCAGAGATAAGGATGCTTAGGTGGATGAATTGCTTTACTCTTAAAGACAAGATACGAAATGAGCATATACGTAGAAAGGTTGGAGTAGCTCTAGTGGAAGATAAGATTAGAGAGAGTTGTCGTAGATGGTTTGGTCACATAAAACGACGGCCTTTCGATGACCTGATTAGGAAATAGATGCATTAGATTTGACTTATGTTAACAAAGATAGAGAGGTAGATCTAAAATGACTTGGTTAGATGAGAATTTTACCTTTGACATGACACAATGGAGAAAAAGGATTCATGTAGCCTACCCCTCATTTTAGAGGGATAAAAGCTTGTTTTTTTTTTTTTTTTTTTGTATATACGTGAAAAACGTTGGAGTAGCTCAATGTCAGATAAAATTAAAGAGAGTCATCCTAGATGGTTTGATCACATAAATTATCAACCTTTTAATGATGTGGTTAGGAAAGTAGATGTATTAGATTCAAGTTATGTTAAGAAAGATATAGATATATCTAAAAAATCTTGGTTAGAAAGTATTAGAAATTACCTAGTTTTTAGATTTAATTAGAATTTTACTCTTAATATGACAACGTGATATTGATACGGATTGATGCTTACTATAAAAATACTATTTAAATCAAGACTTCTTACTTGTTTAGTATGATTAACAAAATGCATGTTATTGATTCATTATTATTATTATTGTATGATTTTATCGTTATGTTGTATTGTTTACTGATGTATTGTCACTGTACGGGTTTATTTTTACTACCAATGATTTTATTAACGACATTGTACTGATACTGTTATCGATATGGACATCGATGTTGTTCGTTGCTACTATTAATTCATTGTACAGATTAATGATATTGATTCACTGTACTGATATTGAGCATATGATATACTGAGCACGTGATTAAGATACCAATTTGATATTGATATAAAATATTTGGATAATGTGTATATCATTATACAATTTTACTGTATTGATATGATTCCGATAGTCTTTACTGATGCTTTGGTATTATCACTTTATATGATTTTTTTACTAGTTGATAGTACTGATATGACTATTACATTATCGATTTGATGCTTGTACTTATTTATTGATTTTCTCAATATGTTATTTTACTGGCTTTCGTACTATACTATTTTATTGTTAACAACTTTATTGCTAATACATATGCATTTTATTATTTTTGCATTAATTTGTAATCATATGACCACTACTGCTATGAATTGAATAATGATATGTATAATGCTTCTTTACTATGCTTTGAGTCAATTATAAGATTGGATGACCTATTGAATTTTTTAGCTCATTATATGTGATTTAAATAATTTCACGTCAGGGCAGAAGATCAGATATATGAGATTGACCAAATCATGAATCTCCATGTTTGTCTTTTAGTTATTATTTTGTTCTTAGGTCTGGTGATGATAAATTGTTATTGTAAGATTCTTGAGTATTGTATATAATTTTTATGTCAATGAATTTGAATATATATAAATGTTTCAATCAATAGGGTTTATTTTTGTTGATATATAATTTTATTATGGATAAATGAAATTAGATAGTTCTAAATGTAATTAAAAGTTAAAAGAATAATTCTTTCAAATTAGATTATGGATGATCATAGTAAGAAAGGCTAACAAAAAATGATTAACTAATTTAGGTTGGTTGAAGACATGTTATTATATATGGGAGGGTGGACCAATGTACCTTTTTTTTTTTTAAATAAGACTTGTGTTGTAATACTAAATGATATAAAAAGAGAGATATAAGGAGACATATTGATATATAATGATATGCTAATGGGTAGAAAGTGACGACTTCTGATATGAAAGTCGTCTGACATAAATGACTTATAATATGATTAATTCTTGAAATATGATTGATGTGATTGAGACTGATTTTTATATGATTGGCCTATATGACTTGATACATGAAAAACACAACCTAGTTGGTTGCTTCTTTTTTTTTTTTTGCTTACATATGCATATGACAGGAATATACATATATATATGATATATTTTATAATTGACATAGCATGATTTTTATAAGATACAAGTCATGATTGATACAAGTATTTGATAATACTGATAAAATTAATATAAATTCATTTGATATCTATAAATCATATAATTCATATGATATATATATATATATAACATAGGCATTATAATAATGACATGTCTACTTATATAATTAGATGTTATATGAATTGTTTTGCAACTGCTGAGTATAGGATTGATAGAACTTACAGATTATTGTTCACTTGGTTACTAATTACTGCTCTTAAGATTTACAGTTGTACTGTTGTTTATTGATCATATGAGTTTTTACTATTTCATTGATTATTACATGCTTTTATAGTTATATATTCGTATTGCTAGTGATTAAATGATTACATGCATATTGTTCATATTATTTTTAGTAGTTTTAGTTATAGGTAATGGTAGCCTACTGAGCTGTTAGCTTATTTTTGTGGTTTTACATATTTTAAGGGGTCATGATCTAGCTGAGTGGGGCTAGATCTGAGATTTAGTTTTTTTTTTTTTTAATTATTTTGTAGTCAAGAGTTAAGGAGCAATCTATCTTTCTTTGATCCACTTTCTAGGGAAAATAAACTATTGAATCTATAGATTGAACTATTGGTTATTGTATATGAATTTTGAGATATGAATACATAAAGTTATTTTGATGAATATGATTTGTAGTTTCTTCTTCTAATGATTTTATTAATTAAAAGAGATTAGTGGCTTTGATTGATGAATTAGAAGATAAATATGCAATTTTTTCAAAATTAAACCATGAGGTGTTACATAAACAACCATCAATGTTGCTGGTGACAAATGGCAGACAGGTAGTAAACTTGTTATTCTGTTTAGCAGCCAATGCATGTTTCAGCCTTGTTTTTTTTTTTACATGAATAGTCCATTTCAAATTTTTATGAGGTTCTTGAAATCATTTTTTGATGTTTTAGACTTAATTTTAGTACTTTCATTGCTAAAAAAGTTATAATTTTGTGCCATGAAAAATTTTTAGGACTATATGAATATTTTTTAAGGACTCAAACTTTAACATTTAAAAATAGGAGAGCAATTGATACATCACTAAAAATTTTAATTGATCTAGCACGAATCTTGATATTTTTAACCTTCATATACGATTCATAATTAAGTCAAGCAATGAAAATGACTATTGGTGGACACGATGATATGCAAAACTTTTCTAATGATCTTAAATCATTAAACATACCCCATCGAATCATTAAACAGGCCCCATCGATGTATTCAGGATATCAAATTTACCTAAAGGATGATCTCTCATACATAATTTGAGTAAAGATGGTTGAAATCAACACTCTGAACAAAATATTGCGCGATGTTGCCCAAACATTGCCTATTTACAAAATGAAATTCGTCGTTGTGTCATGAACGTCGAAAATACTAGGAAATGACTCTAATACTGCATGGATCATTGTACAAGTGCAAATTCAAAATTGACACGAGTTACGTGGTGACAACGCAAATTGAAATGCAAAAATTTACTTACATATGAGGTGCGATGTGAAATCATAAATTATATAAAAAATCAAATCAAAATTAATAAATAAATAATATATTTTAAAATATATTATGTCATTAGTGTAAAATTGATAATAATATTTTTATCAAGAATAATTTTAGCTCACAAAGAGCAAAATGCTTAATTGAATGTATCACTGTGATTCATTCTCAAATGATTTCTCTTCAGGGGAGACGTGACGTGTGCTTTCTAACCGGATGGTTTTGTTATAAAATAACATCAAAATATCACGGTTATGACCAATGCTCGTATGTTTCCCAATGGTTAAAAGAATCATATAGTATATTCGATAAGGCATAAAGCTTTTTGTTAGTGAATGTTAGCTAAAATTTATCTCCTTAAACATCCACCATAAGTCTACAAGGTACCCTTGAACGGAGCAATTCATGGCTGCTAAATAGGATCATTTGTTCAAGTTGTGTCGACTACCTCTTTTGACTAAGTAGACTAGGGACCATGGCGACCCGAGATGATGGAATCATGAGATATTGGTCGAAAGTTCTCTTTCATTATTGTGAAAGATAATTAACCATATGTTCTTACGCTTATGTGAAATATAGAATTATATTATAAAGTTTTTATAAAATGAGAGTGAAATTTATGAATAGTGTTTTATCTCAAACTTAGTATGCCTTCTGAAAATTTAATATGGAACACCATCAAACTCTCCTAAAAGAGGGGGAGGTACCAAGGCTTGAATTTTTAGAGCCCTCATATGTATTATTTAGGCTTAAGTTAGAACGGTTTTTATTATTTTTTAAAGTAACTTTTTAATAAAAAAATTAAAAAAAAAAATTGATTTAGAAATCATTAAGAAATCTACCACAAATGAAACCTTAATTAGAAACTTTTTAAATAGAATTCAGGACTATCTAAACTCTAACTTTAGCAATTTTATAAATAAATTAAACATCTTAATAAGTAAAACTCATTGTCACCAAAAGTAATTCAATTAAAGCCTTATTCTTTTTGTGCTCTTTTGAGCAACTCTGATTTTTTGGAGCTTTAATTTTTTTTAACTTCTTTCATCTTTTAATATACGGGCTTGGCTAGGGCTGCAAGCAAACCAAACGTTCGGCGAGCTACTCGTTGTTCGGTTCAAACAAAGCTCGTTTGTGATCGTTTAATTAACTAAACAAACAAACTTGAACAATATTTTAAATACTCGATTCTTAAATAAACAAACTTGAACACTAATGCGTTCGGCTCATTTATGTTCGCGAACAACATCATGTGAAGTTCGTGAACAAGCTCGACATTAAGCTCAATAAGAAGCTCAATAAAAGCTCGATTCATGTTCGATTTTGAACTCGTGAATAAGCTCGATAAAAATAATTAATATTTGACTATATAATTAATAAATATAAATAATCATTATCTTTGTTACATAGACAATTAATTTTATTATAAATGTGTTTGTTCATAGATATGTTCAGGTAACGTGTTTGTTTGATAGTTAAAAAAATTTATTAAATATGTTTGCGAACAAGCTCGATAAACATTAAACATACGAACACGAACTGAACATGAACCGAACATGAACACTCCTTAATTTAAATGAACCAAACATGAACACAAACGCTAAAGCTCGAATAAACATGAACCAAATTTGAACAAGCTAATATTAAATGAACACAAACATGAACACTCACATGCTCGACTCAGTTCGTTTGCAGCCCTAGGCTTGGCCCTTATTTTAAAAAAAAAAAAAAAAAAAAAAAGACTTATTCAAACATTTTTTTGGCCTTTATAACCTTAAATCCATCTTTTAAAAAATTAAAAATTATAGAAGCCTTGAAATAGGTGCCCCGCTGGAACTTCACGGGGAAGGAGGTCAGCCACACGTGAGCCAAAGCGCCAAAAGGAACTCAGAGCAGCAGCGAGGTGACAGCATTGCCAAGTGGGCTATACCTATCTTATTAAAATATCTACCTAAACTAAATATCATGACAAATTATAAAGATTAATATTTCAATGAATTTAATATTTAATCCTTAAAATTCTAATATATTTGAAATAGTAAATAGACACCCATAAATTAAGCCACATTGCATCACCTCCTCTAAGCAGCGTGGCCTTCATATCAGTACATTCAATGCTCACCTTATTTTTTATTTATTAGATGAGAGTTTTAGCTATTAATTAAAAAATTTTGAATTTCATGATTATATGTATATATGAGTTTATCTTAATGACTTAAATGTACCCCAAAAAAGAAAAGTAGGACTAACTTCAACCTCAATTTCTATAATGAGTAATGCTTGTTCATAATTTTTTTGGAATATTTAGGTCAAATAAGGTAAATTCACACACACATCACATACGTAAGATTCGAACCCAAGACGTCTTCATTGGTAGTCAAAAGTCCTAACCAACTGATCAAGATGAGTTGTCTTATTCACAACTAACAAAAAAAAAAAAAAAAGGGTCAGATTCGAGTTGACCCGTTTAGATCCGTGTCAACTCGGGTTCGACTCAAACCCGACCCGTTGACCTGAATTGACACCCCTAAATTAATGAATCATTTCATATGAGGAAAATCTGGTGATTGATTTTTCTTTATTTTTTTAAGTTTTAATGTGTTTTGAATCTTTATGAAAGCTAAAACATTAAATCTCACTGTCTATCATTACGAATTTTTTAACACGCAATAATGATTTGATATTAGATAGCAACAATATATAACGATATGTCATGTAATTAACATGCTAATTAGAGAGAATCAACTAACTAGTTGATCTCAAATTTTTTTCATATTACATGTCTTACGTATTTGAATTTATAACATATTAATTGAAAATAAAATTGACAATTTAGATAAAATGAATTCGGACACTCAAAAATATAATAATTTAAATTATACAAAATTAACATTATAACATCAGGTTAAGTACTATTTTTCAGTTTGAAATACTCAGTCAGAATACTCTTTGATTCTCTCACATCATTAAGAAAAAAACTAAATAATTAAAATATATTTTCTTCGTAAATCTTACTGCAACAAAATATGGACAGAGTGATTTCAAGCCCTTTTTTTTATAAATCTGTCATATCAGAAAAAGCTGGAAACTAGGAATTTAATTTTAATTTATTTTTTATTAGGTTTAATGAATATAAAATATAATTATTAAATATAAATTACAATAAAAAGTACTATTTTTTGTTTGGGAATATAAAATGTATTACACCTGTAACCTGTTTTCATTTTCTCAAAATACGGGCTACGCCCAAATTTTTTACAAATAAAAAAAAAATATTAATTAAAGAAATGGTAATAATTAACGATTGCAGCGAGCAGTCATGCGACAGATCTACTTTACAGCTGGATGGCATTACATGCGGCGCTCATTTAACCTGGAAACGAGCGCCGCGCACTTTAGCTAAAAAGAGCTAACGGAAAGAACTAAATCAAATAAGAATTAGAAACCATGTAATTCCACTGTATAGTTCTTTTCAAACAATTTCTTGACGATAAATGAAGAGATGAAAATCCTCCAAAAAAAATTTAAGATAGAAAATCCACCAGCACAAATAGGAAGAAGAGGTCACGAATCTCGCTAATTGAAATCCGCCGGAAACTTCGCCGGCGTGCTCGGTTGATGTTCCGTTGTCCACCGCCGTCGGTGATTATAGTTATCCTATGGAGGTCCCATTCTACGATGGCGAGTTCTTCCGTCTTCCTTCAGCGCGCGATGACTCCACACGCCTGCGTTCGAATCTAAAGATGAATAAATTTCAAGAATAGGCTGAGATCTTGAGATTAATTGAACAATCGAATGGATTAAGAACCGCATTCTACCTCTGTGATTAAACAGTCTTGAGAATACACCGAAACTCGACAACTCTGGCGAGCGTAAGTCATTGAGCGATGTGAGAATAAGCAATAGAAAGAAATTACAAGACTCGGTTATGATTTACCTTCGGTGGAGGGTTCGTGGGAAAATAGATAGAGGATCGTAAAGCAGAGGAGGATGAGGATGGGGACGAGGTGGATGGATCTCTCGGATTTCATGTTCGGACGGATCGGCTTCTCCGTCTTGATATCTTCCGCGGAAGTAGATGCCGTCGAATCTGCCGCAGGCGAGAATCCGCTCTTCCGCTTCTCTTCTTTATTGACGACTCTGCTACCGCCATGGATTTCGAGTTTGGAGCTCGGCGATCCGAGTGATTGCCTCTGCATTTCTAAAGCGGAGAGATGAAGAGTGACGGAGATGAAGAGTGGAACCTGACAGCTGTAGTATATTCTCGCCTTGGAGCCGACAGAAGCGTTATGAAGGGCTAATTTTTTGTTTATTTTAATTTATTTTTTAATATGAAATATTCTGGTCCTGGATCGGAGATTATTGATTCACAATAAGAATTGGATAAGCCAATTTGGTAAATCTGATGAGTTGGAAATTATTTATTTTAATTATGACATCCATTTTTATATACAGAAAAAAAATATCATAAATGAATATATATATATATATATATATATATATATATATTGAATATTTAAATCAATTGAGATAAACTCATCAAATACATCACATAAGTAAGACTCAAACTCAAAACTGTTTATTTGATAGCTAAAGCTCCGAGTAACAGATCAAAATGAGCTACATAATTGTTGCGTCCTGGAATATTCGCGGCGGTAAAGAAATATATGGTTTAACGTCTTAGCATTGTACGAAGATCCAGCACACAAACAGATAAGAGAGGGGGTGAAACATTCATAAGAGACACCAGAGTTTTTTATGTGGAAAACCCCTGTAAACCTATAATTCTTCCTGAAAAGGACGACCAACTAAACCTGCCTAAATGCTTTTAAAATCATGCAATTTTGGTTTCAATGCATATGCTAAGTATGTTTGGTTATTTTGATATTAGAAAATAAGACTTATAGCTTAGCCACTTAAGCTATAAGATGTCTAACTGTATAGATATACACATGCTAACTCAATGCAATTTTTTTATTCATCAGCATTGTACACGAGTTTTGATATTGATTTGAAAGAACGCCCTTTTGGATAAAAGATCGGTTAAACATTGAATTGCAGACTAAGGCTTCGTTTGGGACGGCTTCTTGCTGCTTCTTAAAACGGCTTTTTAGTACAAAATTAAAATTTTTGTACTAAAAATCCGCTTTAAGAAGCAGGAAGAAAGCTGTCCCAAACGAAGCCTAAATATTCATAAAGAATCTTTGAGTTAATTTTTTTAAATTTTGAAAAAGATTACTTATTTTTGGATAAGCAATGTAATTTTTTATTTAAATAAACATAATCATATGCTTGATTTTAGATTCTTTACATTTTAATTAGTGAAAAATTATTTTTTTGTAAGAACCTACCACGTAAAACGTTTAGACCAGACCAAGCAAATCAAGAGTAGAAACTTAGAAAAAAAATACACATTTTTAATGCGCACTCAAAATAAACAAGCAATCAAATGTATAAGAATAAACCATAAAATAATAGTACATGCCTTTTATTATTAAAAATAGTAAATAATGTATAAGAATAAACCATAGAATAATAGTACATTTCTTTTATTATTACAATTAGTAAATAAAGAAAAATAGTATTTGAGTTGCTTGTCTTATACAACCTAGTTGAAATTACAAACTCAGCCTGTGGATGTTCAAGTTTTGATTTCTAATGCATCTAGGGCTTTAATTTGGGGTTCATCCTTTTGGTTCATTGTTCTTGTTGCTGTATTCCAAAGGCATATACGACTTCCTAAATATCTATAAATTACATTTAAAAGGAAAAAAAAGACTCAATCCTACAAATCAAATGTTAGGAAGCATGTATATATATATATATATATATATATAAGCTACCCAATTTTCTCGAGTGAATATTTGAATTGAAAATTATTAAAATTAAATTCAAAATTATTCAAACTCATATTTCAATAGAAATAAAGTTGAGGTAAACTTCTTAATAAAATGAACCTAACAACCTAAAGGTAGTCCGATTTGAGTTAAAATAAGCCTAAATCAAGTGCATGATGTGTGATTAAAAATTTTAAAATATTAATTGAAGGATCAATCTTGAAATCCTAAATATTGTAGTCAAATCGAGGGGATCAACATAATAAATTCAATGAACCTAATACTATTTAATTTCAGGGTACTAATGGTATTCAAATGCTAAATAAATGATATATAATCAAAAGATTTAATAATAGTTTGGAGTGTTATAAGATTTTGACCAAATTTATTAAAACACCACTTTCAAATATCCTAAAAAGATCCACATTCTTCATATAAAGGAGCCTTAGACTTGATATTAGAGATAGCTTGAAGATTAGAAAAACTCAAGAGCTCTACCCTATTTTCAACACAAATGATCACCACTAGCCACAGTCATTGTCAAACTATCATCATTAGATAGTCATCATCCAACTATTTTCATTTAACTTACATTGCCTGACTAACATTGTTTGGCTATGATCGTCCTACCACCGTAATTCGACACTCCTCAGCTGGCAACCATCATCCAACCCTCTTTATGAGGGCTATCATTCATATGTCATCACATTCCCTCCATTACTTCTCCATAATCTCTACTATAAATATAAGAAATCAAGAAATCATTCCTCCTCTTGCAATATAGTCTTCTCCACTTTTTGATAAGAGTAGAATTATGTAATTTTAAGTATATAGCAAATTATTTCAACTGGGACATACCATATAATTTTTTTCATTTACTATTTTTTTCACTAAAAAACTCTAGCGTCTCATTCATTTATTCTCTTTTATACGAGTATGTGCTAGATCTTTGTATAAAGTTTGGGCATAAAACTCTTTATCTAACATCTTAAATTTTGTAGCACAAAATAATTTGGTGATGCCTATGAAAATCATTACTAGCATATAGAAACACTTTTTTAATGGTTGATAAAAATCCTTAAATTAATGACATCATAATCTAACTAGTAAAGATTAACCTAGCCTCACTTTATAGGATCGTATGTGCAAGATGAAGGAGATAATCTTAAATTCTTTTAACACAGAGAGGAGGCAAGACAACAATTAACACCATCAAGACATGTGGAGTTCTCCAACCACAAAATTAACAATAATCAATTCATGATCACCATAATCATCATGCCAGTGATTTCCCTCTGCCATAATCTCATCAAAGTTTATTGGACCGTACCATTTCATCACATCGATCCTATTTGTAGTGACCTAGCCTACTCCTAATACTTTGATAGTGTTGGAGAACTTAAATCAATCTCACATTACTGATGTCCCTTATGAAATTATAAGAGATGAGCTTCGACATTATTTAGGATGAATTTTCTACAATGGATATGATTTAATTTATCATCATGTCAAAGTTTTCAAGAATCTTCTTCTCTGATTGATTCAATTTTCCAAAAATTTATTAAAGTGATATAGGGTCTCTCCTTTCATAACCTTTGGAAGGCATGCCTATGAGATACCCTCCATGGTAAGCTAGTAATGGATATGTCCTTACTAGAAAGACTATATGGAAGCAGGTGATTAAAAGGCTCTTTACTTTTCAAAAAAATCTAATAAGTTCGAGCCTTATATGGATTATATATATATATATATATAATCTCAATATATTAAAAGCTTCAAATGATACAAGGTTAAAAGCCTAAAAATCTCAAAAGGCTAAAAGCCTCTAGAGGTATAAGTTTTTTTTTGGTTTTCTAAAAATCTCAAAAAGGAATTATCATCTAAAAGTATATACCTCTTTTATTCTCTTAAAATCTCAATAGCTAAAAACTTCTCAAGGCATATATTTATTTAATTCCTTAAAAATTTTAAAAGGATAAGAGTCTGAGAAGGTACTTGTTTCTTCAATTCTTGAGATACTTTTAAAGGTTAAAAGTCAGAAATATTGAGCCTCAAAGATACAAAATTTTTATTCAAAAATCATCAAAACGTATAAGCTTTAAAAGCATTTATTAACCAAGTGATTGCATCAATAAAAAAAAAAAACATTTTATTAAATTAAAATTAAGTAGAATCTTCTTTATACATGCCTCAACCCCTATTTAAAATCATTGAGTTTATATCAATTTTTCTTATAAAAAAAAGTTTTATAAGAAGTTCACAGCCACTCAATATCTCGGAACATGAGGCAATGATGAGCATCAAAGCCTCAAATCATGCTGAGGAGAGGCACTGATCCATTACCATGCATCGAGAGGAAATTGTAAGGAAGATCCTATGGACACTTTGAGCATGTGTAAATAGAGTGGGCTCATTTTGTGCAACACACATTCATGCATTTGATTAATAGAAGAACAATACACAAATACACAATATGAGAGGAAGATAATGCTTCACTAAACATCCTCTCTTTCTTACTCTCTTTTTAGGTTTATTTCTCTCTCGTCTCTTAGATACCCGATTTTCCAAAGAGGTCATGGGGCATTTATTTTTTTAATAAAAACCCCGCGGCATGGGCCTATGCGTTAATTTAAAACAGCAATACAAGTCCTTAAGGAATTCAAGCCCTCTAAAGGTACAGCACTTGAAACAAAACCTATGGGTCATGAAAACCAAAACTAAGATACATTAAGCAAACCATACAAAGCTCAAAATAAAAAACCAATAATAGGAAACAAAGGCCACAAACAAACGAGCCGACCTCTACAGAAAGCTGAAAAGCACCGAGCAAATAAGCCACCAATAGCAACTGAAACCTATAAGGACAAATAAGACAGCAAGCAAAGAAAGAAAACTTGCAACAGCCACCAACCTTGCTAACAGTCCACCCATCACCAAACCAAGATAAAAAGATTAAAATTATCTTCTAGATTTTCTCCTACAACGTTTAATTCCACGTGAAAAAACTTTTTCGGAAACCTTGCAAATATCTAATCCATACAACTCCTGAATAGAGTCAACTTCCTCAAAATCTTCACACCCCTCACCAGAAGATGAATGGTATCCATCATGCCAAACCGATTGCCCAGAACATGTTGTTCCCAAATTAGAGACAAAAAGGGAGTTTAAACCTTTGGGGGACATGACAGTAAGGGGCACTTCATATACTTGACCAACCACATCAGCATCATTATGACCCGAAACAACAACTTCCTCCGCACTAGTCTCCTGCACCGCATTATCAGTTAAAGCCAAAACAGGCCCTGCCTCCTCCATCACATTATCATCATGAAGCTTCCCCTAGCCACCAAAGTGGTAATCGCAGTACCAAATCCACCACCACTTATA